ACTTGTTTCAGTGCCTCTTCTTATGCAGGGAGCATCCTTCCAGAAGAAGTCCCAAATGCTACTTTCCTGTCCTGTATTTCACAGACACAGAACCTCAAAATAACTTGAGGTGGAGGAGGAACATTTTTTTTTTTAAGAAGTCATCCAGTCTTGATACAAAGACACTGGGCAACAAAGGATCCACTGCTTTGCTATTCTACTTTGTCACATTTCTAATATTTTTTCTTCCTTTCTGACAGGCATGAACTGAAATTTAGCATGCAGGATGGGACAAAAGTCCAGCTGTACCCTGAGCAGCACGAGTCTGTGAATATTCTTAACATCAAGAGGGGGATCATTTCAGCTCTTCTGGTGCCAATGGAAACAGAAGACAAAACCAGAATTGTTCCCATGGTAGGAATTTGAGAACAGCTACTTTTATTTCTCCAGCAGATCTCACTTAGTGAGCCCAATCCTGAATTTCTTGCTCAGGAATTTTGGTAGAAAGGGTCCATTGTAGCTGAATTTGGACTTGTCTGGTAACATGAACAATTATGCTAATTTTTCACTCCTTTCCAGGATACTGTCTATGGAAAATGTGACACTGAAGTTGAAGTCAGGACCAGAAAAGGAAGCATAGCAACAGATATTTCAATGAACAGAAACCTAAAAACCTGTGATAACTTCAATCCTGTTAGAGAACATGTCAGCCCAATTGCCCTTATAAAGGGACTGGTAAGTTCACAAGGAATAATATTGTTTAAGAGCAATCTTTGATACCTAGAGGTATATTATTTTCTGGAAACCATGACCATTACAAATAAGGTAAACTTTTATTCAACTGTATTTTGTGAAGACTCTGATAGTGTTGCATGCACATCTGTGAGAACTGAATCTATGACTTTTACTTACTGTCATGGTGATAGTAAATGGAAAAAAAGGAGAAAAGAATAGCAATTCCTCTTCTTTCATATTCCTGTCATGAATACTGAATTGTGACATGTTTTTAGACAACACTTTGTAAAAGCTAATCTTTTTATTAATATATATATATACACCTTCAACTCTAAGATCTGCAGTGTCTTATAAGGCATGGACCAAGATAAGCTAAATATTTCATTACACTTTATAGTTCAGGTCTTTCAACTTACACATATACACTGCCTATAACCAGCCTCCATATGCAGGTACCACATGAATCTAGTTAAACTGTTTGATAAGTCCTGCCTTCAGAGACAAATCAGGCTGTTTTCACCTAAGTTCCTCATGCGCAAACGTTTGCTCACACATTTGAAGATTTGCTCCTAAGATAAGTGTGCTTATGCTTTTTGCCCTTCATAGGAATCTATAAATTCTTTGCAAGTTTAGAGTCCACAAAAGAATGAAAAGAAACACCAGTTGTTTTAAAGCGTGTGAATTATTCTAACCAGTGCAAATTACTTCTTGAGTCGAGAGTGTCTCCTTTCCCAGAGCCTGTAAAGCAGGGGTGTCTACTTACATGGGACCCTGCTCTGGATCTGGACTTCAGGGCTTTTTGTGTGCCTGATACAATCTGAGGCATGGGAGCAGGCTCGGTGGTCACCATGATAGCAGTGGCAGTGGGTCTGGAGGTGGTGAGAGGTCCAGCAGCAGCAGAAATCCAGGGGTAGCAGTGGGTCCAGGTAGCAGGAGGTGTTCAAGGGCAAAGAAGAGTTCGGGGGCAGCTACGTCAGTGAGTCAGACTTTTTGCCAGTGGCCATGGGCAACAGAGTCAAAGGGCCTTGCATTCTGCAGCAAGCCATATTCCCCAACTTCTGGTTGCCAGCCATT